CAGCTGGATGCATCTGATACCCTCTATTTTTCATGTGTACAATCTGCCAGCACATAACCCCTTTAAAAGTACTAGGGATTCGAAGTAATCCTTTGGGGTAACATGCATCTTCAGAAACATATACGTGCACGTGTACAGAATCAGAGGCAGGGCTGGATGGAGAAGGGGTTGGGGATGGGGAGCTATGGAGTAAAAGGAGCAGGCAAAGGAGGATCTGTTGCTGGTGAGCTCTCTCTTAAGGTGCATCTCTGGGGTAAATTTCCCCTTTTCCCCATCCTGGCTAACTCACAGTGCTTCTGAAGCACAGGTTGGGGTTTTTTTTGTTTCTGCAGATAACCCCTGCATGATGTGAGTGAAGACACAGTGCCAGTTCTTCTTATGTGTTGTACATTTTATGTGACTATAAAAATAAAAATTTGTGCTCCTCACTGCTTACTGTCTACATTTTTTTCACTCATGTCTGCTCTGAGCAGTCATAAAAAGGTTACTTGTGCTGTAGCAGGGATTTAAGATCAAGGATTTTATTAGCTTGCGGGAAAGCTCTTCCTTCCTGTCTGCATTCAAACTGCATAATTTCTCTTATGTTAGAAGCAGGATCAAGCCCTGAAAACCAATGGAAAAAACTTCCTTTGACCTAAATGATGCAAGGCCAAGCTTTTAGGCTCCTGTTTTGTGTGTCAAAGACTAATACTATCATGGGAAGCATAAGCAGCAGTAGCTTTCCTGCATAGTAACAGAAGACTGTGCTTCTAAAAATTCCTCTACAGAGTGTTTTTGCAGAGCTGCCTCCCCAGGGTTCTCCATCTGTTTTCACACGGAGATTAATAACAAATTGTGTGGCTAATAAACTGCTCCCTGCTATCTCTGAAATTTGACTGTTTCTTTTCCTTCTCTCCCATGGACAGTTATTAGATTCCTGTCTGCCCTCGTGCTCCCACGTGGGAGACGTCACTAATACTAGATGCACAGCAGTTGTCACGCTTCAGCTCTGCACCAAGGCTTTTAAGGGGCGAAGATCTTGGTTTATAGCTGAAAGAGTTGGTGCTGTGGACAGCTGTGTAGTGCTGAGGCCTGACCTTGTTCTTACAGGATGTAAAGAAAAGGAAGAGAGAGAAAATAAAAAAAAGTTTTGTGTACTTCACTGTGATCTCTGCAAGAGCCCAGTTTTTGTTCACAACTACAGAGAAAATATGCCCAGGAAAAGTGGGACTGGGGCATGAAACTGCTTGATTCACTGACATCCTTGTGAGATGTGGGGCTGATCGTGGTGTTTCAAAGTGCTGTGTTCAGAAGGTCTGGACCACATGGCAGAGGGTATCCCAGCTGCGCCATTGGCAGAAACTGCTTAGAAAACCCTCTACTACCGTGAAAACAGACTTAGGATCAGGAAGGATCTTTGAGATCTTTCGGTCTGACTGCTCCCTTGTACAAGCCCATGTTAACACCTCTTCTGGTTAAGGATTGGTGACCAAACTGCTGCCAAGATACTCACTCCAGATTTGGAATTTTCCAGTGATGGAACAACTCTCCATAGTCCTGCATGATGTGTATCAAGTGACACCTGCCTACTTTGTTAAAACACCTACCTAACGTCTGTCCTGTGTTTCTATCTTTCAACTTTTTATCTCACTGCACCCTCCTCTGCTGGATCAGAGGGATCTTCATCATGTTTTTGTTTCTGATGTACATCAGATTTTACCCCCTTGTTCCTGAAACAGAATAATCTGGGCTCCTTCACTTCCTTTTCCCAAGGGCTCTGACCCAGCCACAGCAACAGCACTTCTTAGTGCCCGTTCCCTCCCCTCTTCTCGGATCAGGGGCAACAGAAGAAGAAACTGAGCTTCCACCACTTGGTAACTCTTGTGGGGGTTTTTCAAGTTCTGATGGTAACTCACAGCGGCAATAGCTGCTGTAGTGGGTGTGGGAACATCAGACACAGCAAAATAATTAAAGTATCATAGGCATCTTCTGGTCTTTAATCAGCATCCCTCCTGGCAGTGAGCACAAGAACGGGACACAGGTTTCCAGTAGCAATCCTATCTGTGCCATGTTCAAAAGTAGCAAGCAACACCTTGCTCCTCCTCATATAGTCAAGGTTGACACAGTGCCTTAGGCTTTGGCATCACACCGAGAACTGACATTAGCTTATCAACTACTGAGAGTTTAACCAAGGGCACAGCGGGATAAAATTCTAAGGGAAAAAAAAAGCCCAAGCACATATCTTTGCCTGTAGCTTTGGGTTATTTTTAAATGTTACTGGCAAGTCGTCCCCTTTTCAAGGAAGTAGGGACTGAGCATGGAACTACAGCCAGGAACCTGGGGAATCTGATCCCAAATCAACTTCAATGTCTCCAACAGTTCTAGTAGATCATCCCAGCAGTGATACTTTTGGCTTCGCTGTGACTCCAGGCCTGCTTGCTTTTCACCACCTGTGGGAGGGGAACCTCAATGTTGTCTCAGGGGCTCATTAGGCTCATCAGGTGATTTTAGGATTTCATAGAGGCAAAACATGAAATATTATTGATCCTCAGAGAAAAATGTTAGAGCCTAGTGTACCTCCTGGAAGAATTTACTACAAAGAGTGAGGTTATTCCATAGAATAAATGTATCCCATTTCACCATAAAGGCTTTTTTAAAAAACACCAAACGGATGCTTATGTGAATTCCAATGGATATGAAGAGATCTCAGAGTCCTGCCAATGTTAACACGTTCAGAGCCACAGCTTGCTGTCTTTGAAGTCAGCGGATGGTTTGCTGTGGATTTAAAAGGGGGAAGTAGAAAGCAAAGCATTAGATTTCACTGTGAAGTTTCTTACATATCCCATTTGTCTTTGAAATTAAGGTACGTGGGACACTGCCTATCTGCATGCTGCTTCCAAATGTGTAAAGGCTACGTTCCTCAGACAGCCGAGGTACAGGGACTGTATTGAGGAACTGCTTCTCATTAGCTCATTCATGGGTTTGTTTTGAGGGTGTGGGGTGGGTGGAGATGATGAGATGTTTCTCCCAGAGACCCAATGGGGGCAAAATTCCCTTCTTCTTTTTGTTCCTTTCTCTGTTGGGCTGGGACTTTGGGATGGGGAGAATGCAGAGGCAGTGATCTGAGACAACCCACACATTGAACCATGTTATTTGGTACACCAGACTAGGGCATTCATCCCCGCTGCCCCTCCTCATTCTTGCTTCCCTTCATCAACAGTGCAATATTTAAACTGAGTTGCTTCTAGGTAGTTCTAAAGTGCAACACATGACACTTCAGTGAGGGGACAGTATTTGCAGTAAATTTAGTATTTCATAGAGCTGTTTTCCAGAACGTCTGCAAATTTAGGTGCTCGTTCTTGCATGGCAGGTGTAAACTCAGATGGCAATCTAAACAGTCTGTACCCAGCGATTTAGAAGTAGTCCAACTTTTGAGGTATGCCGCATCTTGATTATTTTAATTCCATTTCGTGTGTCTTCTGATCACCAGGGAAGATTTATTTTCTGTAATGCAAAATAGAATCTGAATTGTTGAGTTCCTTAAAGCCACATAGAGGCAATTGGCCACAGTCTTAAATGTTAAAGTGATAGGATTAAAAGGTGTGGGAGGTGGGTGGGTGGGTGTGACAGGCATAAATAGTTGATCCAGAGTTCTGCAACAAATTTCAAAACAAACCAGCAAAATCTTCTCTCTGTGGGAAGACCAGAACCATACTGTCAAATCTAAAAATGCTCAACTCTTTTCTAGCATCTGTTCAACAATTTCCCAGCATTGTGGGCTGTAAATTATTGTAACGGTGTTTCTTAATCTTCTGTTAAAGAGATGACTCAGATACTAGGTAGAAGCTTAATTATTGGTCATGTGCATTCATTTAAATTTAAATGCTCATGTAAACATTCAGCAGAGTTCTTCAGAGCTGTTAAAATGTTATTCAGTGTATTCAGGTTTGTACCTAAAGACTTCATGAATACTTGGCACAATTTCTTAAATGTTACGAAATCTGAGCACCATTAACCTTGTGTCTTCCACGTTCATGGAGCAGGATTTGTCTGTCTCAATACATGTTTAATTATACAATTTTAGGCAGCTTTCCCATAGATAACAGTGTCACTTGATATTGCAGTTAATTTTGCTTGAATGAGGAGTAAAACACTGAGCCCTTATATTTGTTGCAAAGATTTGTGAAGATTTGAGTTGTTTTCCATGTACAATCACAAGATTTTGCTGTGGCTTCCAATTCCCTCCCCAGTGAAGTAATCTTAATAGTAATTTTGCTTTAAATCCACTGTGTATACTATATTTTAAGGTCTAACAGCACTACATAATGCTAAATTGGTAAGGTTTGAAACATCATTCATTTTGACATCATTTGATTACTTTCTGTAATATCCTTGCAGTAAATCAGAAGACACTCAAGATGAGAAAGGCTGGCACCAGTATAGCTGTTGTAATGCAGCATTCCTTCTGCAGTTGTCTCTTATCTAGAGCAGTCCCTTAAATCAGTCAACTTCTTTTTAATCTGTGTTTTCATGTCTTCTTTCTCATGCATGTGGGCCAAAACTATCGTCTTCTGTTTGCTTCCAGCATTGCAGAGGAATGTTAAAATCACCCAGTAAGCTGTGCTTGTTTAACCTCTTCTTATAAATGTTAATACTCTTTCCTTTTCCTATAGCTTTGGTTTGTTATATTTAAAATTGGAACCTGAGAATCAGGATTAGGTGATATTACAAAACATGTATCCATGTAATAAAGTTGATGTTCAAAACAGTAATAAGGATCTTCAGATGGCATTTAAGCCAGTTGGAAGTAAACCTTTATAGGAAAATTCTGGCTGTTTTTTTCTGCTTCGTAAGAAAAAGACATCTTTTCAGCCTTCTTTCTCATTTTAGGCTGGGAATGGAGTGCATAGTTTGGATGTCAGCAATGGGACACCTTACCAAAACAAAGCACCCATGGGACTGTTGTCCAATCAATGACTTCTAAGTGCACGAGCTGTTAGATTGGAAACAAGTGCCACAAGATGCCAAGTGAGGTGCTTGAGAGCAGCAGTGGCATGGAGGAGACCGTGCAGAAAGAGAGCAAGTCTGGAAGCCAGAGCCCTCGCCATGGCTCTGTGAGAAGGGCTGTGGCAACCACTGTCACCTTTGATGGGGAAGCCACTATGGACCGGAGGAAAAAGAAGAAGAAAGAGTCTCGTCCCGAGTCAATAATAGTGTATCGGTCAGAGAATGAGAATAAGGTGGAAGAAGAACAGGCGGATGAAGAAGGAGGGGAGAGGAGCTCTGAGGAAGGCTCCAAGTTCCTGGGTCAGTCCATGGCAGATGGTAGGTATTCCTGGGAACGCCCTCTTTCCATAAACTTATTTTGATGCCAGCATGCACTGAGGTCAAATGGAAGTGACTGTGGGACCAACCCTCTCCAAGACTTTTAATATCATTATGTTTATGGCAAGGAGAGCTTGAGTTCATACGTGAAAATGCTCTGAAATAAAAAGCATTACAAGCTGATTTGGGGTCTCTCCTGCAGTTCTTTGCAGAGGTTGGTTGTTGCCGCACTCTTAGTTTTAAATGTATGTGCTGGTAGGAGTTGATCCAGAAAAATGCTGAGAATGCTTTAAGCCAGTGATGCTGTGAGCAAGCCCCTGTCCATGCCTAAACAACTGCCTGTTAAGTGAAAGGATAGAAGCAGATGGATTTAGTGGCTCTAGCTGCTACAGGGAGTTTTACTCATCATCTAGGATTTGCTGTTGCCTTCTGTTTGCATATTCTCAGCACAGCTTCCTCTTTAAGAGTGATTATTTGGCAAGGTCACTGTGGGGCATCTTGGAGCCACTTTCAGTTCTGATGTCTGTCCTGGATACCCTTGCAGGGAAGAAATGTGGGAGGCAGGTCCTCTGGCTAATCGTTTTGTGAGTCAGCAGTGCAGGCTGAGAGGGGTCTAAATGTGAATGTATGCTCCTGGTCCATCTGCCACACCAGACTCCCCCACTATCCCAACCCCTAATCTATGGTTTATATGCTGCCTTCCTATTTTTGTGGACCACTTCAGATTGCTCAGCCAAGCTAGTCTGGATTAAGACCAGGAGGAAGCATATTTTAGTTCCATAGAAGAGTTTATGGCCAGTGCCACTGCAGGGATCATCCTAAAGCAATGTCACATCAAAGCTAAGGCAGTCTGTTTAGGATTTTAACACACATCACAGCACTTTCCTGTTTGGTGCCTTTGTTGATCCCTTAAAATGCAAATATAATAAGAGTTTGTAAGGATTTTCTAAACATTTAAAATTAATTTGCATTGAGATACAGTGGAAATGTAAAGTGAAATATTAGTTATTTAAGTATAACTTCATGTATAGATGTGCTTATTTCAGAGCAAGAGTCTTAGTCATATTTATCTAATTCACACCAAGTGTCCATGCTGTTCAGGAATAAACCTATGAGGATACCAGGGAAAACAGGCATGCCATTTTTAATTCAGTTACTCTGCCTCATCTCTTTCTCATATATTCCTGCAGCACTTTCCCCTTCACATACTGCCCCAGTGCAGGTGCTGGAGTCTTGTCCCTTGTGATTTCTGTCTTCTGGAATTCCCGTCTTCTCCCTCATTATCTCTTCTTCCATTTTCTCCTGTGATAAATGTTCTTTATACTGCATTGCTCCTTGCATTCCATCTTTTTAAAATTTAACTATAACTCCATATGCATTATCTAATTGTCTTTGGGGATTTGCACAAAATACTCCACATAGAAAAGAAATCTAATGTAGATGAGTTTATCTGTGTTCATAGGTGTCTGGAACATGCCTTTAGACAGCCGATACGTCACCTTGACTGGAACAATCACCAGGGGAAAGAAGAAGGGTCAGATGGTGGACATCCATGTCACACTAACGGACAAAGAGCTGCAGGAACTGGCTAAGTCAAAGGAACCGCCTAAAGAGGATGCACCTGAGAAGAAGAAGAAATGTAATGTTGGGCTGGACAGAGGACCCCACATCGTCCTCTGGACCATCATCTGCCTCCCCATCATTTTTGTAGTGTCCTTTGTGGTTTCCTTCTACTATGGAACCATTACATGGTACAACATCTTCTTGGTGTACAATGAAGAGAGGACCTTCTGGCACAAAATCACCTTTTGTCCCTTTTTGATCATCTTCTACCCAATTATAATTATGGTTGTGTCTTTTTCCCTAGGCCTGTACTCAGCCGTGGCCCAGGTAGCATGGTCCTTTGGGTACTGGTGGCGCGCTGTCAGGGACATGGAGAAGGGCTTCTGTGGCTGGCTCTGCAGCAAGCTGGGTTTGGAAGATTGTTCTCCATACAGCATTGTCGAGCTGCTAGATTCTGACAATATCTCAGGCAGTCTGTCTGGCAAGAGCTCTGCACAGGGGGTTGAGACCTCGACAGTCTGAGCCTTTGTCCTGGCTGACTATTTTGGTCATCTGTGAGTGGTTTTCACCTACAAAATATCACACTGTTTTTTATATATGTATCTATATATATTTAAACACACACTTAATGAATAAAATATTGGGCTGGGAATGCTCTTTAAGTGTCACAGAATGCAAGTATGGTAGCTTCATGTGGTCTGGGCAGGGAGGTGCATGGCTCTTCAAGGATTTTTCATCTGTTTTAGCTAATTACAAATTCTGGAAGTGGTGAGAAAATCCAGATCTGTGGGGCTTGGGCTGTTTGTGGGGTGGCAGAGATATGTGCTGAACAGTCCACTTCTGTAAAGTCAGACTTTACTTTCAGGGAATAGGACATAACAGTGATCTGTTGGCTCAGTGAAAAGAAGTCTCGGGGGATGACTTTCAGGAGCTAGGAGACATGAAGGCTAAATTGTGAAATGTGATGTTCCTGCAGTTTTCCTAGAAAGGATCCTTTTCCAGTCCTTCCGACAAGTGCAGCAAACCTTCCAGGTAGGCTGACTGCTTAGACACTGTCAGAGTTTGGAAAATAGACCACTGCAGTAGTTGTGCCCAGCCTTTCACTGGCAGAGGACAGCATAGCCTCCGACAAGGGCACACTGCCCTGAAATGCGCCCATCACATGATGGAAGAGTAGGACTCCCTCAGGAGACTGTAGGTGCAGAGATAGGTGCTCAGGACACACCTGCATTTGATCTCTTGATAGGTGCACTGCTAGGAAGGAATGTACAGGAGTTGTACGCAGTGTGCGGTGCAGACCATTGCATTATAAGGAAGAAGCACCTGCTCTGAGGAAAGGTGATCGGTTTGCACATCACTGCAAGGTAAGTGCGGATCAGCAGCACCTGTATTAAGGAAAGTGGAGTGGAAGGTGCTTAGGATGGGAAGGTCTCATTGAAATGGTCTTTCTGTTCTTCAACTTGCTCTTATGAAAGAGCTGCTGGACCTTCCCTTTCAGAATGGCTGTGTCCCTGAGCCCATGTCTGTTAGTGCCAGTGCAAACTGCATTAGTGCCTCAGCTCTAGAAATCTGCATCCCACACATACTTCCTGGTTAATTATATGGAAGAGCAATGGATTATACATCATCCTCTGCTCATGTTTCGTTTTCGTAATTGGCTTCCCCCCTTTGGGGGCTTTGCATGGCACCTTCGTGGGCTCCTAGACCATAGGCTAGAGAAACTTTAATTTTCTCTTAAAAAACTGACTAGCAGAAAAGTTATTTTTTCTGGATTGACTGTCAGGGTTTTGGCCTAAGGAGGACATGAGGAAAATAAGAGAGAGGTATAATGGACTCTAATGGGGACTGAGTTACATGTCTGAAACATGATTAATTTTCTGAGTCCTCAAGTTCAGCTGAGGCTGCTAGAAGGTCTGGCTCAGCCTCAGCCCAGAGGAGCCCACTATTTGCATGCGTGTAGGTAGATAACTCGTAGTGTGCAGTCAGTTAGGCTGCACAGCCATCCATGTCTGTATAGGTGTTTCACTTCCCCAGTGTCCCTACCAGAGGGTGAGTTGCTCTAGTTGTAGCATGTTGTAGAGAAGCATTCAGAAGCTGCTCTTCAGAGGAAATAATGCTTTGTGTTGCATTTCAAGGATGAGTTCGAAACTACACTGACTGTCCTGGTTAGGACATCTGGGAACTGGTGATGTATAAACAAGTCTGTCCAATCCTCTAGGCCTGCCACAGAAATAAGTAAAGCCCCTGCTGCATCCTTGGTCTGTTCCCTTCTGGGAGGTCCAGCCAAAGCAGGCTTTTAGCCCTGGTGTAAGTATTAACAGTGTATCAAGTATCAAGTATCTAGAGCAGGCTTGGCCCCACACGTTACTGACAAAGCAGAGGTGCTCCCTGGGCACAGGTACAGCCAGGCTGTGTTTGCTGCTTCCTGACACACAGCTTTCAGTTTTTACTGGCTAAGTCTTTACAGGCAATGACCAACCTGCAGCAAAAAAAAGAAAGACCCCCAACCTGTGATGCAATGGCAGGTAATTCATTAGGGTTCAAAGAGGCTGGCATGTGCCTGGGACTGGTTCAAGCAGTGAAATGCCTTTCACAGAGCTGTTCCAATTAGGGAGCTTGATATGACTCTGAATTAATAAAGAAGCTCTAAGTCACGCCAGTGCTGGCAGTCTGCAGTGACCCAGTGCAGCCCCTCTACTTCATACTCCTCCACATGGAAATTGCAGGCTCCCACATGGCTGGAGGGTGGGAAGAAGTGATGCTTAACAAGCATCAATGGGAAGGAAGGCCCGCTGGCTTAACAAGCATCAATGGGAAGGAAGGCCCACTGGCAAGTGTTCTCACGCTTTGCCTACAGAGACACTGCTGGCATGAAAAGAGTGGATTGTGTATCTTGGCCCCACCATGCACCAAACAAGTGGGTTTGGGGGAAGGATGGCTGGCAAGCATGCATTGCTGCAGAGGGAGAAAACCCAATTCAGCTGTCACTGTCAAACAGCAGCTGTTCAAGGCTAGACGAAAGGCTGAGGTCAGCAGCACAAAGAGCTTTCAGCTTATAGAGGGCTTGAATGATAAATACTAGCTCATTACAGAATACAGCCATGTGAAATGTCTGCTGAGCTGCAGGATTTGCTTTCAGGATTGCAAACTGCCTGCCAGAGTGGAGACAAAACCAAATCTGTGCCTCTTGCTGCTATGCAGACACAATGGAGCGTCAGAGAAGTCATAGTACCCTCCCTCTGCCACGGCAACTATGCTTTTGAGTTTGGAGGCCACCTTTCTGGGGATATACTGGAACAATCCATCATGTGTTTTCTACTTCTGTACACTTAACCAAGCTTGCCTCTGTTCC